AATCGATTATCACTTGTTGACAATCGATTATCTGGGTTACCGTTGTCCTCCAACGGATAGAATTTTAAATTTTTGGACAGGGAATCTTTGGATAATCGATTATCATGGTTTGACAATCGACTATCAACCTGTGTCCCTGAAAAATTTGTCTTCATCCTGTTGGAAATTCTAGCAACGGTTTTATCCCATTTTGGGCTATAAAATGGCACCCAAATCCTCTCTTTTAACACACAATTCTTCAACATTTCAATACTCTTTCATTGCATAAGCATTCCTATTTTTCTTAGCTATTTGAGAGCCAATTCTTGAAGAAATTGTCGTGTTCTTGAGCGTTTACTAGTTCACTCATATCTACTCTTGTGAGAGTTTTATTCCTGAGTGTTTAAGTGTTTTCATACACTTTAAGGGAGGTTGTTCCCTTGTTGTAAACTCGAAGGAAATTACTTATTCCTTCGTGAGAAGTCTTGGAGTGCGGTATCTCCGAGCAAAGGTGTTGAGGCTCGTGTGACTCGGGTTCTCAAGTTGTATCGGTTTGTTAAGCACCCTTAAGCTTAACGGAGTTAGTGTAGCTCGAGAGAGTCTCTCGGGGGGCTGGATTAGCCACACGTTGTGGTGAACCAGGATAAAATCCGGTGTGTTCCTTCCTTACGCTCTTTACTTTAACGCTCTCGTTTTAATTTCCTGCGATTTTGTCTTAAACGCTATTCACCCCCCCTCTAGCGTTGGGCCTGTATTCTAACACTGTTAACCAAGGACGTACAGATAAGACTCGTAACTGAACGAAGTTATGTATGTCAAGTATGCAATACTACACACTATGAAGGAACTTTTGTCATCAAACGATCAGTGAAGACCTTACTTAATCGAAAATTGCTAATCTCTCGAAGATTGAACGAGTTTGGTGAAATCAATGACTTGAGAATACGTATTCGAAAGATGGCGACATAACCATATGAATATGAAACGGTCATGATCAGTGAGATCATTACAAAACGTTGAACGTTGAACCTAAGAAGAACTTCGAGGACGAAATTCCTTTTAAGGGGGGGAGAAATGTAAGGCCCCAAAACATACCCTAGAATTATTAATGAAAAAAATAATCAATTAATCAAATTTGTTTTGATTAAAATAAATTATTGTTGGGCTTTGGGTCGATATGAAATGTGTTTTGACATCCAAAATCAAAATCTCGATAAGTCTCATAGAGATAAATCCAATATGTGGACTATTTGTGTGGTCTTGATTGGGAACCTAAGTACAGACCCAAATCAAGAGTAAATAAAGAATTTGTTTAGAATGTAAATATTGAAATGATTTGTTAAAATAAATCATGAGAATAATTGATATGAATCAAATGAGAAAACCTTTTATGAGAAAGGTCAATTAAACCAATTTTGACTCTGTCAAAGTCAACCACCCAAAAATATGATGTCGAAAAAAGTGTTACAAATAAATATAAAAATTATATTTATGGATAGAGTTTAACTGTCTGATCGCAACGGTGCAAACGAATTTCAATTTAGAGAAAGTTGGACCAAAAAATGTACCACGACTCGAACCAAAATTGGTCCCAATCAGGGAATTGCGTATCAAATTTTGGAGATCGCCGCTGAATCCACTCAATCGATCGTGAGTCACAAATGACTCAGCAACAATTGGCTACTTCCTTCTCCAAATGCTATAAATGGGCACCCTCACTTATCTCAACTTTGCACAAAACTTCCTGAAATTAGTACCATAAGAATCTAAAGAGTGAGGGGAGTAATTTGATGGTATTAATTGCCGTCGAGGTCGCCGGAGCAAGCCGTGGTGTTTGCCGGAAGTTTCGTCATCCAATCACCAGAATCATCGTTTAGCTCCGAGGTAAGCCCGTAGATATATCTAGTGACTAGAATGTTCGTATAGATCGTTTCTACGTTCATAAACGGTTATTTGGTTGAGTTTTGTGTTTGACATGTTTGAAGAACCAAGAATCATAAAATTGTTGTTAAAATTACGAATTAATGACTCTAAAATGATCTCTGAACATTGGAGAACATTTTTATATAATTAAATTGAAGTTTGGTGATTAAAAATGATAATGTTAAAACTGACCCAAGCAAGAGGATAATGAACAGTGGCCAAAAATCGATTATTTACTTACTAAAAATCGATTAGAATTTTATTCAGATAAGTGGTTCGAAGTCAGTACCATTTAATCGATTATTTATGTTGTAAAAATCGATTATTATGAATTAATTGATTATTTATATTGTAAAAATCGATTATTCTGAATTAATTGATTATTTAAATTGTAAAAATTGATTATTATGAATTAATTGATTATTTAAATTGTAAAAATCGATTATTATGAATTAATGGATTATTTAAATTGTAAAAATCGATTTTTTATAAATTAATCGATTATTTGTATTGTAAAAATCGATTAACATTAATTAATTGATTATTTAAATTGTAAAAATCGATTATTATGAATTAATTGATTATTTAAATTATAAAAATCGATTATTATGAATTAATGGATTATTTAAATTGTAAAAATCGATTTTTTATGAATTAATCGATTATTTATATTGTAGAAATCGATTAAAATTAATTAATTGATTATTTAAATTGTAAAAATCGATTATAATGAATTAATTGATTATTTAAATTGTAAAAATCGATTATTATGAATTAATGAATTATTTAAAATTATATAAATCAATTTTTATAAATTAAATGATTATTTTAAATTATTTTCCTCAATTCCAGATCCTGCTACGAAAATATATTCCTGAAAATATGCTCTAGAATCCTATTTTTGATAACAATTAATTATGAACAATACAAATATGATTTTGTATAATAAAAATGATGTTTTAGACATATATAACATTATGTGATGCATGACGGTAAGTTAGAGTGTTAACATTCAAAACTAGACCGCTATTTGTTATCAATTGTTGATTAATGATTGTGATGAATGATTATTATGGATGATAATGAATAATGAACTAACTGATTAAAATGATTATTGATGATTCAGCCATGAGAGTAATGAATATATTGATAATTATTAAACGATTTGTATTGTTAAACGGTATCTAGAAGAACTTTAAGATATACCTATTAGTTAATTGATGTTAAGGCTATCTAGAAGACCTCTAGAATAGATCTTGTATTAGAACAGGCTTATGAAAACATGAACATTTGATGAATTAGATAAAAATGCATAAATGAGATTCATAGACCAAACTAGAGGATCACTCGTTTGGAAATGCCCGATCTAATGTTGATCAATCGCTATATTGTTGTTGCCTTAACTGACTACAGTTAAGTGTCCGAATCATTTGCCTTAAACTAGTGATAGTTTAAGTGTCTGATTGCCTTAACTGACTGCAGTTAAGTGTCCAAAATCGATTTCCTTAAACTAATGATAGTTTAAGTGTCTGATTAATGATTGCCTTTTAAGAATCTGGTTATAGAAATTACGATCTAGCCTTAGACTAAGAATAGCTAAGAGCATTTTTATGATCTGGCCTTAGACTAAGAATAGCTAAGAGCATTGTTATAATCTGGCCTTAGATTAAGAATAATTTAAGAGCACTATTGTAATAGTATCTGAATTGAATAAAATGTATTGATATGAACTGAACAATACCAAAACTGTGAATGTCTGAAATGAACATTGTGTGCATGATATCAAATGATTTGATTATGAATTTAGATTTAGTTTATATGGATGTTCGACGCATTAGATATGCTTACTCAGCTTTACCGCTGAGCGTGTAGTGTGTTTTATTTGCTACACGCAGGTAAGCAGAAAGCAGAATGTGATTCTGGCGGCAGATGAGGCGAGATTGTCGGGATGGATGTGACAAGTTTTGAAACAACTTATGATATGTCAATATTAAAATCACTTCCACAATATCGTTGAATACTCCGTATTGTATATGTATTGAAAAATATTATTGGGATTGATAAAGTGTGTTTGAAAAGTTTTAAATTTTTACGATTACCAAGTTAAATACTTTAGTCCGAATGGGGCTGCAGACCTGGACGGATTAGGGTGTTACATTTATGGAGTTGATGAAAATAAAGGTTTGAACCTGAACGCTTAAAAAACGTACAAGACCTGGACATTTTCAAGAGATTGAATTGACCAGGACATGAAAAGACCTGGACGCTTTCAACAAAGCCTACCAGACCTAGACATTTTTAAGGCGTTAACCAAAGACCAGGACATGAGATGACCTGGACAACTCCAAAGGGATAAGACCGGTTATTGTTTTTGACTTGGAAGTTAAACCAAGCATGTTCAAGAAAAGGCAAGTCTGACCATGCAACTTCAAGTAAGGACCAAACAAGGAAAACAACTATGCAATAAATGATGAGCAAGCGAGAAAAAGGAATCAAACCCTGCAAACTGAAAGAAGAAACAAGCCGGAAAATTGAAAACCATGCCAAACAAAAGATAATATTACACAAGTCAGAAGTAGGCCGGACATCCCCCAGGCCTTGGGAAAATTCAAAGGTTTTTCAAACCAAACCCTAACCTACTCTAGGGGAAAGGGGGGAGTTGGCACTTCCTCGTACAAAGCCGGAAGCTTCATCTTGGCCGGGTCAAAGGAAGGGTCCCTCTTCTGAAGTCTGGCATAAAGAAGGGACCTCTCATCCTTCTGCCCACATTGGAAGCCGTATGAACCGATCTCTGTTATCATCCTCTTGCCCTCCGGTTCTTTGTACCTGGTCTTGCAGAAATCCATGGTCTCCTCCAGTGCAGTGAGTATAGACCGGGCTACTTCCAAGTGATTGCGCGCAGCCCAGCCAGCAGCTTCAATGTGGAATGCCTCCTCCTTTGACCGGGCAGTTTCTTCGCCTTGGGCCAAAGCATCTTCCAGCTCGGCCACCTTCCTCTTCTACTCCACCAACTTGGCCCTTTCTTCCTCTAATTTGATCCTTTCCTCCTCTAACCTGGCCCTCTCTTCCTTCCTCTTCCTCAAGCCTCCTCTCCCTTTTTGCCCGGTCATTAATCTCCAACTTAGCAGAATCAAGCAGGAGGTTCAGCTAAGAGACCTGGTCCTTTGGCTCCAGAAGTGATTGGCCAACCTCTTCTGAGATAACCCCGGCCTGCAAATTTGAAAAAAGAGGTTGCATCAGTGAAAGTAAAGGAAAAACGTAAACCGGGAAGAAAACTGGAGATGAAATACCTTGCTAAGTTTTTTGGCTAGGGATAGGAAGGTTTCTTCGATGGATTCCCCCTCCCTATCTGATAACCTGACCTTCTTTTTCTTGTCCCCCTTGGAGCTCTTTTGGGACCCTTTCCTTTTCTGACCCTTAGTACGGGAAGAAGAATGGCCGTCCTCCTTGGATTGGGATTCAACCTGGGCCTGGAGAATATCAACCCGGTCGCCTTCGGAGGAATGGATGGCTGAGGGTGACTTCACCTGCTTATCTCGAATGAGATCGTCAAAGGAAAAGCACCGGGCAGTTGAAACCCCTTCAACTCCAGGATTTTGAGGAGGGGAAGGATGGTTATTAGTGGAAGACCGGTTGAAGTGGAGGACTTCAACATCATCGTCGTCATCTTCGATGATGGTGGACATCCTGTTGAAGTTCATGTCTGCCAAAAAGAGCAAAGCAACAAGTGACTGGTTTGATTTTACACCTTATCAAAATGAAAGTGAAACCAAAAGGTTGAGGAAAATTAACCAACCTGGATGAGGAGAGACGGCCTCAGCGTGACCATCCGGGGAATCAGCCCGGTTATCCTCAGCGTCATGGGTCGCAGACGCACCCCCATCCGGGTTAGGTAGCCGGAATACCCAGCCTCTATGGGCATAAGGTTTCCCGGTCACAGGATCACCCTTGAGAAGTTTCTCGCAGGCGTCCTCAAGATCTTTAGTGGGCTCCGGATGAACCCTTTCAGGTTTTATAACCCGGTCAGCCCACTCAGGGTTAGAGAAAGGAAATTGGTCAGGGGGGAATTCAACGAAAACAAATCTTTTCTTCCATGTTTTGTGGCTAGGGGGAAGACCGGTCACAAAACCCCTCTTATTACGAGAATGAAAATAAACAAAGCCCGGGCAATTACTAGTCCTGGGCAAGACTTCGTACATGTGGAGCAAAAGCTCAAGGGAAGGGTTGATTTTCAGATTTTCACATATATTAACAAAACAATTTAAGAACTAGTGGGCGTTTGGAGTAAGTTGACCGGGCAAAACCTGAAACTTCTTACAGATTTCAATAAGGAGGGGGCGAAGAGGAAAAATAATACCTCCCTCTAGAGAAGCAACATGAAAACCCAATCGGGTTCCCTGGTGGGGTTCAATGATGTTGGGCCAGGTGGTTTTGGAAAGGACTTTGTAGCCCGGTGGTAGGATGGTACGGACTTCTGCCAAAACCTTTTTGGTAACCCTAGAAGACTCTTTGAACACCGGTCTAACATCAAGGGCTAGGAAGCCTAAAGATCCCAGTCGTTCTTCCCATTGCTCCCAGCTGAGGACCTTGGGATTGAATCGACCGGGCAGTTGATTTAAAGGGACAGGCTCCTGGGAAATTATTTCCTGGGCCTGAGAGTTAGACTGTTGGGAGGGGCGACGGATCAAAGGAGTAGGAGGAGGAGAAGAAGATTCAGAGTGGGAAGAGGAAGAGGGCTAAGAGCCCGATCCATAAGACTGACCGGACACATTCTGGCTATCAGAGGACGACATGACTCTAGCCTACCGGTCAAGAATAACAAGATGGAAGAAATGAAAGACTAGGAGGACTAAAGCAATTACTTGGAAGAGAGCTAGAGAGAGAAAGCTGACCGGTTGAAGTAGAAAGATCGAAGAAGAGAAGTGAAGAAATGAGATGGGTTGAAAGGGTATTTATAGGAGAGAGAGGAGGGTTGGAGTTCGAGGCGACATGTGGGAGGCTGAGGGGCTGACACGTGGATAAGGTAATGATGAGGGGGAAATTTTGAATTTTGAATGTGGAAGGTGAAAGGTTTTGGAGGGAAATTCCTTAACCGAAAGGCCAGGCCCAACGATTGGGCTACCACAGATCCAAAAGGATAGGTCATTGATGGCAGGTCAGCGACGGATCAAAAAAAAATGACAGGTCATGGGATGACTTATTGATTTAAAATGGACAGGTCTGAATATACTACTTGGTGATTCAGTCGGGTATGATCCAGAAAGGACAGGTCGACGAGGATGATTTTGATTTCAAAAAAAAGGGATAGGTCTGAAAGAAAGGCTTGATAATTCAAAGAAGCACAGGTTTGAAAAAGAAAGGCTTGATGATCCAAAAAGATAGGTCAACGAGAATGATTTGATGGTTTCAAAGAAGGACAGGTCTTGAAAAGGAAAGGCTTGATGATTCAAAAGGACAGGTCAATAAGAATGACTTGATGATTTCAAAAAAGGACAGGTCTTGATAAGGAAAGGCTTGATATTTCGAAGAAGGACAGGTCTTGATAAGGAAAGGCTTGATATTTCGAAGAAGGACAGGTCTTGAAAGGGAAAGGCTTGATGATTTCAAAGTGTGATAAGTTAACAGAAATATACTTTCCGCCCTTGATGATTTCATCACAAGGCCGGTAAGTGGAGGACTTCTTGATGGGTATATCCTTATACCCGACCCGGATAACCGAAAGGGACAGGTCAAATATGACCGGTCACTTTTATCAATCACCAAATGAGGTTAACTCTTCGATTGGGACGGGTCAAAAGTTGACCGGTCACTTCCACTAAAAAAGTGACCGTCACATTTTGGGCGTTAGCCAATTCGTCACTTCATGTTACGAAGGATAGTCTAGAGGACCAAAGAGACGGGTCAAACTCAAGAAATGACCGGACAACCTTGGAGGAAAGATGACCGGTAAGGTTGCGTCACTTGGGAATGGCAATCAACGTCAAAGACCAGGGGACCACCCCGCCGTTCGTCCTTCACGAGGCAAATAGTGAAAGGAACATTTGTCACTTTGCACGGTTGATTGGATTGAGAATATCCATTTTAGTCTTTGATTGATTAGTTCTTTTTTGGTTGCATTAGTAACAAGTCTGTGATTGTATAATGCTTCCATTATCTACAGTGACCTTCCCACGAGCTTCCTATTTTGTCCATGGATGAACAGGGGAAGGTCACAAATCCTCCTCTATAAATATGATGATATTGGGTAGAGGAGGGGATCCAATTTTTCTCTCACTAAAGTTCACTCTTGAGATAGAGTAAGAAATATAATTCGGACTGAGCAGATTTACCCAGTCTAGGTCATACTTTGTGTTCTTGTTGCGTGTTTTATATTACGGGTCTAGTGTGTCCAGGTCAAACCCGGTTAACCCACCCCGCTATATTTACACTATCAGAGCCGACGGTAGGTGGACCCAGTGACGAGTGACTTCACCCTTCTCTGCTCCGGCGACGACTCGATCAGGCACAGAGGCATGGACTCCAATCCCCTCCTCCGGTCAGGATGCAGCGGCGACCAGCACGCAGGGTGGCGATTGATGACGGGGGTTGTCTTCCAGCGGCGACGAACCAGCACACTCCTTTCGGCAATGGAAACAACTAGAATTCCGGCGGTTGAGCAGCGGTAGCAAAGGGCGCGACTAATGACTCCAGCGAACGACCCCAGCAACTCCAGCGACCTCCCTCCGTGTTCTGGCCAATTCGGGCTTTGATGGTAGTTTGGGTAGCCGTATCAGTTCGGGCAATGGGATGAATCTGCCCCGACGATGGAATTCGAATGACATTCTTTCAAATTGAATTGACAAATTGAGGTGAGTACGTGGACAAATAACACTAGAATATGTATATATGTTTGAAATTCCCGTTCATAATTATTATCGTGATTTGATCTATGTGAAATACTTTGTTGAATTGCTTGGTTGTGGCTCCGGGGACCATATTGATCAAAAAGGGTAGAACACATGATTTAGGCGTTGATTGATTATTGAAAATATGTTTGTTGAATTGTTATTCTGTTTGGATTCATTGACGGATGCATTTAGCCAGATTTGGAATTGAATTAAGAACATACCCATGGGGAATTTTCAATGTTTAAATGTTGGTATGATGCTGAAAAACAAAATAGGTACGAAGCTAAAATCTGTTGCATCAGACGGTAGGCGGTACCGCCGGGACGGTACCATGCTACCGTCACACTCTGTTTGTTCTTTCGCCTCTGCCGGTAGCTGCGACTATACGGTACCTATGTACCTGACGGATGGTAGGCCCTACTGCCCGGACGGTAGACGGCTACCGTGGTAGTCCTACCAGAAGGGTTCAGTTAGTTCGGACGGTACTCCAGTACCGTAGGACCGGTACCCAGGTACTGTAAGGGCGGTACCCCATACCGCTAGGGGTACCGTAAGGTACCTGAACTAGGTTTGTCGATATGTGTTTTCGTCAATGATTGATTCCGAGACCTTATGTGTTGTATTCGAGATTGTGATTATTCTGTGTTGATCCAACACTTACGTGAAGTTATACTATTATTATGGTGATCCAACCTCGAATCCAATGAGAAGAGCGCACTACAAGAAAATCGTAGAATTGCGACGGAAAGTTGTGACAATTGTACTTCCGTTGTACTCGGCGACGACATTTGCGACAAACATTGTCACCATAAATCTCGGCGACGGAGTGTGCGAAGGAATCATAAATCCTCGCAAAGTTCAGGGCGGGAGACTTGTCGCCAATAGTCTACGACGTCATTTGCGACGGAAGCCACCGTTGCAAACTTAATAATTTATTCTAATTTAATTCGTTTTAGTTTGCGACGGAATCTACGAAGGAATCTGCGACGGGGTGATTCTGTCGCAACCTTTTTTTAAAAAAATTTCACTTTTTTCCCCTAAACAACATCGTTTTGCTCCACACTCGCATATAATTTTACTTCTGCGATGGAATTTACAACGGTAAAATTCCGTCGCAAACCGATTGACTTTAAATAAAAAATCTGTCTCCTTTCCCCCAAATATGCAGCGGGTAGAGATAGAGGAGCGACGGCCAGCGAAGAGCTTACGGATCCAGATCCAATTTCTTCAATTCCAAATAATATTTTTACATTTTTATTGCAATTTACTTATTTCTTTTCATTAATATATGATTTATTTAAGAAAAATACATTTTTAGGGTTATGGTATTGTTTTGGATAAAAATGAGGTGTTTGGAGGGGGTT